CAGTAATGTGAAAATATGTTTAATAGGAATGTATATGTATAACCTATATCAGATTGTGTGTTGTCTTAGGGAGGGTGTCAGAGAGGGAGGGGAAGAAAAATTTTAAACTCAAAAGCATATGGAAATGATTGTTAATAAATCAAAATAAATTAATTTAAAAAAAACCTGGGTAGAAGAAATGTGGCTGCCCTATCTCACCTGGTCGTGGTGCCTGGGCATGCATGGCCTCATCTATCTCTTTGTCTTTGCTTCTTTTTTTTTTCTGATCTGCAGCAAGTGAGTATTTTCAGATGAAACCATTGAAGTGATCTGGTAAGTTCCTTTGGGTAAACAGAACTGAATAGAGACAATCATAAAATCCTCAAAGCAATAATAAACAGTGTCAGTATGCAAAGTGATTTTCCTAAAGTGCAAGTCCAACCATGTGAATTTGTACTCAGTAATACAAAATCCCAAATTTGGCATTGAAATCCCTTCATAATATTCTGTCTTCTTACTGTCCCCCACAATTCTGTCCAGTGACACTGGCTTCCTGGCTCTTCTAGAAACAAGACGCTCGATCTCTCATCTTCAGATGTTTTCTCTGGCTGTCCTCCATGCCTGCAATGCTCTCTCTCCCCATCTCTGCCTAGTGATCTTTCAATCCCAGCTGAAATCCTACCTTTAACAGGAAGACTTGTCTAATACTTTTTTTTTCTTTTAAAGGCAATAGGGGTTAGGTGACTTGCCCAGGGTCACACAGCCAATAAGTATCTGAGGCTGGATTTGAACTCAGGTCCTCCTAACCCCAGGTGCTCTTGCCACCAAGCTGCCCCTTCCAATAGTGCCTTCCCTCTTTTACATCCTATTTATCCTGTATAGAGGTTGTTTGTGCATATCTGTTTGCTTGTTGCCTCCCCAATTAGATTGTGATATCCATGAGGTCAGACACTGTCTTTTGTCCTTAGCACATTAGTAGGTCCTTAATTGTGTGTGTGTGTGTGTGTGTGTGTGGTTTGTCATTTGTTCTTGAAGAGGAACATGATATGAGGGAGATGATGGCATGACTTGCAATTGACTTTGATATGAATGACAGAGGGCTGTGGAAAGTCACCAGCCTCACTCTCTCCTCCAGATCCATCTGGGTCCAGTGGCCAGATATCAATCAGAACTGGAGACAGCCCAGGATGCCGTGATTGCACTTGGCACATGTAAGCTAAGGTCTTTCCAGCTTCTCACTTTGAGTGAGAAAAGGACCATTCAGTGAATAGTCCTCTTTAAGAGGTGAGTCAAGGGATAGCCCCTTTCATTAAAAAAAATCAAACTGAAAGGGGAATAAATGTTTATTGAATGACTGACTGAAAACCCAGAAGGACTGTATTTGTCCCAGCTTTCTGGCTCACAAGCCTCCATTGCACTAGTCCTTATTAAGCCAGCCAAAACCTGGGTCATGTTCCACCTGAAAGAAAAGCAATATCCAGTGGAGAGAGAGCTCTTAGAGTACAATGACAGTGAAGTGTGTGTGAGGAGAACATGTAGCAAAGGGATAACTCATAACTCTGGCACTTTCTGTCCTTTTCTTCCTTTGTAGAATCCTCATAAAGTTCCCTTCAGGATAGCTTCCAGCTAGATTCTGAGGGCTGATTCCTTTCTAGATGGCATACTGGTACTCCTCTCCACTCTGAGAGGTCACACTCTTGAAGCAGCTGCCCTTCTCAGGTGATTGTCTTTCCACAACTATTGCAGGTACCTCCATTAATGTCAGCAATCTGTTGCTATGGGGTTCTTCTTCCTCTGCCTCTAGGAGGTGCTGATATTACAGTCATTCAGCTCCCAACAGCCAAGGGGACTTGGGGATCTTCTGAGCTCACCAGGTTATACAAACACTTCCATCTAGGAAAGCTCATTTGCCTAAGATCAAGAACAATCACAAGAAGACATGAAGCCATTGGTTGACAGTTACCATGCCTGAGTAGTGCAAAAAGAGGCAAGGCAGCCACTTTTCCTCCACCTAGCTCTTCAGGCAGCATTCCTGCTTCCAAGCCAAGAGGGAGAAAGAGACAGAGGGATAGAGAGATTTAGGTACAGAGACAGAAAAAGAGAGGGAGAGACAGAGAAAGAAATAGAGAGAGTTGGGTCATTCCTTTTAAAACCACGCTGAAGTCAGTTTGGAAACTCTGGTCATCACTTCTTAGGGCCAGTTAAAAGATTTTCTCTTCAGTCTCTAGCGCATGTCCATTAATTAGGCACCGCCAGAAGAAACAGGCTCTTCATAATTGTCCACTTGGCCTACAACCAGGTAAGGAATATCTTTGCATGCTCTAAGAACTGGCTCCTTTGTGGCCACTATAGCGAGGCTGTATTGCTATTAAGGAAATAACCAACTTTTGAAATTTTTAGTGGTCTTTCTGTCCCTAAATGTTTTATGCATCATTACCAAAAGCTCAGTTGTTTTTTTTAAGTGAAACTTCAACCAAAATTTTACCCTAAAATTCTCATCTGTTTTTGTTCTGTACTAGAGAGATTAAAATAACTATAAATTTTCAACTTGACAATGCATATGTCTTTTAGTAGGGATCAAAAATAATGTAACTATGCAGAAAGAAGATAATGACATATTGAAGAACAAATGTCTTGCTTTTAGTGCAATAAGAGTTTGCCCTGGAGATAGGAAGACCTAGGTTCAAATCGTACTCTTACACATACTAGCTGTACTACTCTGGGTTTGCCGTCCAACTTTGTCAGCATCCTACGTAAGTAGGACAATAATTTACAGTTTTAATATAAATATAAGCCAATGCTATCAAATACAAAATTGCTGACATGTATCAGTGGAGTTCCCAAGGTGATGAAATCTCAGGTTTAGACTATCTCAAATAAGTTACAAATGACAAGTCAAGAACAAGTTACAGCAAAAGCAGAGAGGAACAAGGTGAAAGAGTGAAATAAGAAAGAAAAGAAAAAAATCAAGTGACAAACATCAAAGAATACTTAAATGAAAATGCCAAAAATATTGTATTCATTCTCTAGCTATTTTCTACCGCCGTATATACAAACAATAAACAAAAAAATTACAAAAAACAAATTAGGTCTGGTTGGTGACAGTGAAGAAAAAAAAAGCACCAAATGTCTTTGTGCCATTTGTTCTCTTGGCCAGTATTACGATTACCAGTAGCCTTCAATCTGCTGTTAGATGTCAATGAAGAAATTTCATAAGTTTGTATGATGGGCTTGAGTTGATTAGTGATTTCTTTGCCTGAAATTTCAATGTTAAAGCCTCTCATCTTCTTTATAGACTCTCTAAAATCCACGAGCTATAAGGGTGGAAACAGTCACACACTAAAAGAAAAGAAAAAGTAGCGTCAGTGGCTCAGGATTTTTGATATTCACTTGTCTAAGACAACTTTATAAGAAAGCTACTTTTTTATGAACAATGGCAACATAGAGCATCAAACCAGGTTTCTACACAATTTCCTAGAAAAGTGTCCTTTTTTAGCATGAGCCTTCCATAAACTGATCTTGTATTTTCAAATATAATTTCTTAATATCTAATTCAAAATTTATCAGCTATCTGCCTGTTCCGCTCAATAGTAGAGTTTTTGTTAGAGGAAACAGTCTGTCCCAAAAGTCTTCGAGCAGTTTTAAGCTTTAATAATCAAAGTAATAATAACAAAAGCTTCAATATTTTAAAAAATAGTTTGTTTTCCCCTAATTACATACAAAGACAATTTTTAACATTTATTTGATTTTAATTTAGAATCCCAAATTATCTCCCTCCCCTCTTCCCTCACCTTCCCCCTCCTGGAGGCAGAAAGCATTTTGATATCGGCTATACATGTTCAATCATGCAAAACACATCACAATATAGGTCCTGTTTGAAAAGAAGACACTGAACCAAAGGAAAAAATACGAAAAAAAAGAAATGAAAACTAATATGTTTTAATCTGCATTCAGACTCCATCACTTCCTTCTCTGGAGGTGGATAACATTTTTCATCATGAGTCCTTTGGAATTGCATTGGATCATGGTATGGCTGAGAATCAGCTTCAGTATCTGAAAACTACACTCATGTTTGGACATATTTGGAGACACGATGTTATTTCATGGAGACCTTTCCTACTAGAAAGGAACAATTTTCTAGGAAAATTAGTCAAATGAGATATAATGAATCCTGGACCAAAAAATCCGAAGGGATTTACACAGTAATTGAATAAGATTATAACTCCCTAAGCAACAAATAGGAGAAATAAACTTTTAATCAAAACAGTGATAATTTGAGACCAATCTTTTAGACATTCCTTTTTTAAAATGCCCCTTGTTAGAAAGTGGGGGAGGGGGGAAAATACCTGTTTTTCTCATTTTTCTGCTTCTTCAAGTGCTCTGTTTACTATATATAGATCATTAGTGACAGCTTCCAGGGTATGACAGGCCATTCTATGCCTCTCTGGGTTCTTGCTTGGTGTAGTCTGATGTTCTTCTCAAATTGATCACTTTTGGAGCTGTCTTCTCTTTAACTCTTTCAACCATTTTTAAAGATTCCCGGATCTTCTCAATGGTTTTGTCCCGTGAGGGTGAGGAGAGAATGATTACAGTTCTGTCTCTCCTCTATATGATAGGCCAGTTCACTTATCTTCCCTCTAAGATTCCAGGCAAATATAAAAGGGGGGAGAGTATTTATCAACTGTGACTAAGAGCAGGCAGGAGCAGGCTTTACAAAGATCATCTCCTTTGATCCTTACAACCCTGGGAGGGAGTTTTGAACATTATCTCCATTTCAGTTGAGGAAATGGAGGTGGATCGCAGGTTAATGCCTGGGATCACACAGCCAATAACTCTGAAAGGCTAGATTTGAACTCAAGTCTCCTGACTCCAGGGCCAGGGCTCTATCCTTGGTCACTAGTATCTCACAATCGAGCATAGATATACAATCAACATGTCATCATTCTTAACAAACAAACAACAACAAAACTAAGTCTTCTCACACTGAAGCCAAGTATACAGGGCACTGTGAGTCAGACCAGAAATTCAAGAAAAAGTACAAAATGAGGTAGCAAGGAGCTCATAGTCTGTGCTAACACACAGAGAAACAAGAAGCAAAGTCTGGCTAGACTGTTGCCAATAAACTGCAAATTTCACTGGCTGATCCATGAGTGTAGAATAACCGCCACCATTCATATAGCATGTTTATTCCCACTTTAAGCTCACAACAAAAAGTGTCAGATAAGTAGTACAGGTTTGGGGGCCCCATTTTACAGGTGAGGAAACTGAGGCTTGGAGCCTTTCCATGGTCAAACACAGGTCTGCTGACTCCAAGTCTAGTCTTCTATGGATTGTGTCGACTGTCTTTCAATTGAATAGGTATACCTGCTGAAATAGAGTTGATTTAGAGGATCTTACAACTGGGACACTCAGTGAAGGACATGGAGAAGGTCAGGAGGCAATCCAGAAGATTCATAGTTTGGAAAGTTTCCCTTAAGTGAAGAGCACAAAGGGGACCTGTTTGTTTAACTGAAATAGGGAGACCAGAAAGCAGTGACAAAGACCTGGTTGAGTTTCTGAAAGTACTTCACTTATCTCAACTTACTTTGAGGTAGATGACTCTCCTCAGGTGAGTTTTTCATGATTTGATTTGACCATCTCATTTCACTGAGCTGTTTTTAAGTTTCTCCACCTTTTTCCAAGCTTACCATTGTAGGGGGTTCTTCAAGCTGTGCTCAATACTCAACAGAGTCTATTGACTTTTCTCCTTCTCTAGTTGCACGAATTTCGCATGCAAATCTTCTGTCAGCAATGTCTTCATTTTGTTTTGTTCCCAATGAGTTTCTCCCTACATCAAAACAAAGGAGTTAGTCCTTTGGTTGTTTTAAAGTACTTTCTGTTTCTGGGTTACATGTACTAGAGCAATATTTGATTAGTCAGTCATTCTTTTGAGTCCAAGTTAAATGCATTAACAAATACAATCTGCATCCACTTCAGCAGCAAACTGAGTAGAGTAGTAGACAAGGAATTAATGCCCTGAGTTTTGAGGCTGAGATTTGTCCCACCTGCCTAGGCCTCAGTTCATCATCTCTAAATCAGGAATCATAATCTTTGTACTCCTTACCTCACAGGGTTATTGTGCAGATTAGTTTGGACAATAGAGATGAAGTGCTTCTTAAGAGAAAAGTCATATTTCCTCTAAGTCATAAATTATTGTTGTTAACGTTTTTGTTTCATTTGCGAAAGGCACCTAAGGATTGGTATCTTTAGAGTGAAATCAACTTTTAGCTTAGTTGGGATAGGGTGAGATGTTATTTCCGCCTACTTTATTTGACAGCAGAAGCAATGCTTTTATTACTTCAATTTGTGAAAAAAAGTGGTCACTATGACAGAGACAAAATCAAGGAATCAAACTAGGCCCAGACTCATCTGAGTCTGAGCTCCAGGCTCTGTATGGGATTAAATAGACCAGATTAAATGCAGGGAACATGAAAAATCACTTTCTCTTTAGCTCAGGTTTCTTCTCCTCCCATGTTGCCTCCAAGGAAATCACAGCATGATATTTGAATATAACAAACATCTAGGTCTCCACAGATGTGGGTAAAGGCACTCAAGAAATGTATAATTTGAGTAGGGTGACCTTTGTTCTACCTCTCAGAAAACACAGAAAGGACTCACAGTAATCCATAAACCAGATTTACCATTTCCTTCTTCTCTGTTGATTTCTACCTTTTCCCCAG